TGTAAAAAAAAAAAAAAGAAAAAGAAAAAAGAAGAGAACGGAAAAAAGCCGATCGGAATCACTGAAAAAAAAGTTGATAGAGGAACAAACGAACAAGACAAACATATCAAATGAAATATATGTATTTCCTTATTTGCAAAAATATACGCTTTCTCTAACACTCCCCACTACTATTACCACTACTACTACTACCACTACTACTGCTACTGCTATGACCACTACTACTACCACTGTACCACTGCCACTACTACTACTACCACTACTACCACTACACTACTACTCCCATGATCACTACTACTACCACTACCAACTACCACTACTACTACTCCTATGACCACTACTACTACCACTACCACCACTACTACTACTGTTATGACCATTACTACTATTGCTACTACTATCATCAATTTCCATTTAATTTTAAGAGATGGATGCTACCGTTTTTTTTTTCCTTTGAATCGTAATCGCTTATTTACATTCATGGATGAAATGTTCTCGAAATTGTTACTGGTAATGATGGTGATGGTAATGGTGACATTGCTGTCATTCATGACTAATTGCCTCATTTAATCTCCGTAAGGATAATTACTCCAGTATGACGAAAATCTTTTTTTTATATTTCGAAGTAAATTTAAAAAAAAAAAAATCATTTGAACGACAAATTAAAAAATTGATAAGACATTAATTTTTTTTTTTTATTATTGAAAATATATGAAATGAATGAATGATGACTTGTCATATGTTATCATACTACTATTTATGAAAATATTCCTAAGTGTCCAGTTGTTTTTGTTTTTTTTTTTTCAAAAGGATGACTCGTCACATCACCATCACTATTAATTGTTTGTTTAAATAGAGCCTTGATTTGAGCCTACTAAAGAGCTATTCGGTGACAGGTGAAACTATCAATGGCAATGACAGATATTCTTTTTTTTTTTTTTTTTTTGTTATAAAATCATTTAGTATTTATTTGATAGATACCAAACGTAACCATAAAGTGATATGTATTTTTGTAAAATAAAATAATTTCAATTTACTATAAAAATATGGCATCAAAGCATTTTCTACTTTCTTTTTGCTCATTTATTTACTTATTTACTTCACATACCTAACTTTTATTGAAATTATTCATTTCATTAAGTTCCATTCACCACTAATTATCATTATTATTATTATTATCAGTATTGATTTATCAGTACTGATCAGAAAATAATTTAAGTTATCCGAATTTATAGAAATTTTCAATAAGAAAGATTACTTATTAATTTGAATGAACGAAATGATAATTCTATCATCTCTTATCTTTTTGATGATTTCAATTATTTCATAAAAACAGTCACAAATATATATCACTGTTATCATTATATCACTATGAACACTAGAACGAATCCTTTGTCATATTTAAAATTTTCACAAATTTTTGGGATATAAAAATTCGAGATATTACAAAAAAAAAAACTTTGTAGGAATAAGAATAATAATGAATGGCTAATTTGTTAATGAAAACATTTCCATTTATTAATTTATGCTTCAAAAAATCCTATATCAATACTATTTCATATCACTATGATTTATTATTTTGGGATGAAATTTCAATGAGTAAATCGATTATTACTTATTTAATAGTAATAATAAACTAATAAAATAATATATCATTAATTTATCATTATGATAAAAAAGCAAAACTTTATTTTAATACAAATATCTGATTGAATAAATTACAAATAAGCTATTCATGAGGATGAATCATCAAATTTTCATGTGTCATGTTTGTTGTCTTTTGTTTTTTTAGAAAAAAAAAAACTTTTAAAACAATGAACTACAATAAACAAATGTTGTTAAAATTTAATTTCAATTAAGATTTCAAATTTTCTTTTCTGAATGAAACTTTCAAAACATTTCAATTTTTATTTCATCACAATCTATGCATAATACAAATAATGAGAATTTTAAATTTGTATATTTATCTGATAGCAATTTTGGAAAGGAATAAATTGTCATCTAAAGGTCAAGTGTCATATCAATACGATAGTTAGCATAGTATTTCATGTTCACTTATGCAAACACGTTTTCGTATACAATTAGTAGTTAAAGGCAGAAATGTCTGCAAATCTTTTTCTTTCCATAAAATGATTCGTTTTACGATTGAACTAACAATAGCTGCTGTATATATGGAAAGAGATGTGACCAATTGTTGTCGCAATCAACGTTCCACAACTAAATCATCCCTTAACAAATGTCACTCTGTCATGATTGATATGTTCATTGAGAAAATTTATATTCAGAAAAAAAAAAATTTTTTTTTCCCTCTTTATACCAATTATATCATAAAAAAAGTAAATTGACATTTTAATTTTGATGAAAAAATTTTAATTTCATGAACTTTTATGATCTTTACTTCAATTAAGCTATCAATTCATTAAATGGCAAAAGTAAAATAGTCAATTGAAAAGATGAATCATTTCTATTACATCATCATCACCATGACATGACAAGATATGCCATCTGTTATACCCTCATAGGATAGGATGTATATGGGTGATGATCTTCCTGGATTTATTATCTCACTTTTAGATGCTTCCTGTCATTTTATTCTGTTCATCGATTCCATCAATTATTTTGTTTTCCTTTTTTTTTTGTCTTGTCTTGTCTTCATTTTTAAAAGTGGCGAAAGATTGTTGTGTTGTAATTCTATGTAATTACTAATTTGTTTACTTATTTATTGTTTACCTAAATCGAGACAATTATATTTGTTCAATTCTTTTACCAATCTTATACATTAAAAAGACTGTATTATTTACTTTTCTACTGCTTACTTAATTGTACTTAAATCTTATTTTAATCTTTTTAATTCATTAACTTAAATATTTTGTGATGATACCATGGTGCTCTTTTACAATACTGTCACCGTTAATTGTCAACATGTATTTTAGCATCAACTAATTAGCAAATTTATTAGGATATATTAGTATGATGTTGATGGTGATAATTTATATTACATTTGACATTGACAAGGAATCATTTATGATTATGTTTGACGTTGATAGGAGTTATTTGTATTACATTTGACGTTTTTCACGTGCTTGTATCACGTCTGACGTGTTTCCACTTATGCTTACATAATTCTGTTTGTTTATGCTTCATTATATTTATCCATTTGTAATTTGTTGCTGTTTTTGATTCTTTTTTTTTTTTTGGGTGATTAATAAAGAAAAAGCTTCTTATTTAAGTTTCACATTTTAATTACATATTTGCTACTCACCAAATAATTTGCTCATTTATTTATTTTTTCTTGAATAATTTTGGATCATTTCTTACCGTAACTTTCAATGATTTAATTTGATAATTCCTTCATAAATAGAATTTTAATTTTTTATTTTAAAAGTTATTTTTTAATTTCTTAACATTTTGATATTTTTTGTTTTAATCCCAATCTTTCATTTTAATTTTTATTTAAAAAATAACTTATATAATTAATAATGAATTCACTTTTGAATCCTTGTTAAATCTATTAATGACACATTTTTTTCGTGATTTAAACAATTTTTTCATTACTCCGATTTCCAAGTTAAATTTAAAATTTCATATTGGAAATAATTTTTATAATTTATAAAATAAGCGAAAAAAGTAGCTATTTCTTCGTTACTCTTACTTGTATTACATACTTTGATTACTTTACATTACTGTGACAAGTTCATGAAGAAATGTAATTGACAAATTAAACAGGTAAACAAAATTATTCCTGGTTATCAATAATTGATGGATGACAAATGATTGTTTTTGGTCATTCAATATAATTTGTCTTTGTCCCATCACATAACAGTCTATTAATTATAATCATAATCTGACAGAATATTTCATAAAGCTTATCATAAACCATTCAGGTGATATTTGATAATTAATTATCAATAATTTACATCTTTAAACATTTAACATTCCCTTGTTGAAAATGCTCAAAAATAAAATTTCCATTCAGAATGATTATTATCATTTATTAACATTTATTAATAGATAATTTTTTTTTTAAATTATTGATTTATCATTTATTAATAGATATGATTCAATTCAATTATTGATTTTATTAAAAAAAAAAAACGTATGATAGTTAAGATTTTACGGCAAAAGATTAATTAGATATATTAACTGCAAGTAGCGCAATACTCATTCATATCCAATAAATGATTATTTTGGGTCTGGGAAAGAACTTCAATTCATCTTCTCTAACTTTCTTCCATATTATTATCGTTTAAAAAAAAAAAGAATATATTTTTATTTGTGTTTTGTAAAATTAAAAAATTTTGCAAAATTTATATTTAAATATTTTCTTTTCAATATTATCCAATCATAATTGAAATGTCACCAATTTTGATGACAATGATTTATTCATTTCTGAATAAGTAATAATGAATCGATTGGAATGAGGAATAGTTTACAATCTTAGATATTGTTGGCAAAATGAATGGCTAGCTAAAATAATACGATTTTGTTAAAAGAGTTGAACCGTTTTTAATGAATACTGTAATGAAGTTTACCCATTTCTGAGTAAGTAATTAATGAACTAATTGGAATTAAGAATAGTTTGCAATCATAAGTATTGTTAAATAATTTCGAATTATTATGGAATGTTATGAAACAATTTAAACAAATTATTACATATTATTGAACACTAATTTATTGTTATATCTCATACTATATCATAAATGATATATCAGAAATCATGAAGTATGATATATCGGAAATCAAATGAAAGATCAAAGATTAGTGATTTTTATTGTAATATTTTGAAAAAAAATAAATTTTTAAAATGAAAAATAAAAAAAAATTTTTAAACAAAAAAAAATAAAAATATTAAAATGAAATTATCAAATACTTGCAAATTGACTTTTGTTTTATTCATTTACTTGTCGGTCTAATTTGTGACCTTTGATCTTTCATGCTAAGTCCACTTTTAATATCAAAAAACATTTTGAGATGCTACCTGAAAGGATAATTATCATATTTAAAATTGCTCATATCATTTTCTACTTATTAATTGCTCTCGCTTTGCTTACTTACTGATTCATTCATTTGCTCCTTTTTTTTTTTTCACTTGAATTCCTCGTCGTTAGCAGTCTTTGCTATCGTTTTCAAATATTTTATTCCATTATTCTATTTCATATTTAACACTTGCAATTTATAAAGTTTATTTCAGTCTACCTGAAATTACGTGAATTTTTATTGAAAGATATTATTATATCGTGACGCCATTTGAATTCAGTTTCTTCCAAAAATTCAATTTCTTTTTTTTTTTGCTGCAGAAGAAGGAATGGTACTTCGAAATTTGATTGATAAAAATTCAAATTGTGATAGTAGCTGTAGTGATGAGACAAATGATGATGATGAAAGTGAAATTGATAGTGATGAAGAAGATTTAG